GACATTCCTTACGTGTGTCTATAGACTGTGGGTTTGAGTTCATTCGTAAACTCAAAATCTTCACTGAAAATTCAAGAAAATCCACATAACCTACAGTTATGCAGCTAGATTTAGGTGATTTTTTTTTAAAGTTATCACTTTTTGTTTAATGTTATTCATTGTCCTCATTTTTTTTTAAGTTGACCAGAGAAAGACAGAGAGAGAGAGAGAAGAAAAGTGAGAAAGCAAGCTGCCAGGTCTGGGACTCGAACCATAATTTTCTATAGGGTAAGTGTCTTTATTAATACCTACGATAACTTAAATTGCATTTTATCCTACATATTCTACCATTATCAAAGTGACATCGGGCCAGCAGGTGGCATGGTGTGTGCACTCACCAGAGAGACAGAGGGAGAAAGCAGCCCCAGTGGGGTGTGGTCACACTGCAATCCTTTCTCCTCCATTTCTCCACCCTGTCAAGATCTGGGGTGCACATGCACATGCTTGATGTGTTTCTCGAGCTGCAGGGGCTGGATTCAAACCATGGCTGGCCATGAGAGATCTGTCTCCCATCACCACTAGGTCATGGGGCCAGCCACAGAATAGTATTGTTTTTTTTTTTTTGGAGAGGTTTTTGCTATAGGGCGTGTGCGCTCACCAGACAGACAGAGAGAGACAGAGAGACAGAAAGTGAGAAATCTCCCCCCAGGGGGAATGGCCACGCCACAATCCCTTCTCCTCCATTCTCCTCTTGGGATCTTGGGCACGCACATACATGCACCTGGTGTGAGTTTAAGCCACCAGGTCCAGGACTTGAACTGAGGTCGGCTACATGGGAATTCAGCGACATAGCCATTACGCTAACTGCTAGTCCCCAGAATAGTATTTTTCAAACTTTCTTCACTATGATTAAGCAAGGTAATTTAATGCCATGGCTCAGTATACACACACACACCTTGAAAGAAATGTTTCATGAAACCATACTTAGCCAGATTGTCTGTTATGCTCCTTAATATTTTCTATCCTATTCTATTTTTAAATGCTGGTTGCAACCTAGTACACTGATTTTATGACTAACTAAAAGGTTAAAATTGACAATTAAAAAATTACCATGTAAAATTTATCTGACAACCCCATCTAAACAAACAATAAAGGAATCAATGAAAGAACTCTGCCACTGAATATATTATCTCACCAGTCAAGCCCCATAGTTTTCTGTATTGCTACTAAATTCTGTACATATGTACACAATTTTGGTTTCTGACTCAAGAAACTCTTGCTATTAGAAAGATTGCAACATTTCTTATAAAAAGTTATCATTTACTTAAAACTAGTTTTTAGTTTCATGCAATTTGAGAATTCAGCAGAATTTCTAGTGTTTGAAAAGCAAAGCAAAAGTGGGAAACAAGAAAATATATGCTTTGACTGAAGGAGACAACATTATCTTAAAAAACTGCAAAAACACTGGATTAACATCCTACAGAAACAATCAAGTTAAGGGTTTGAGGGGGACCTTGACTCACTAAACAGCTTAAGTTCAGTTGGAAATTTATGTCTTGACTTGAACACACAGAGTGGTGAAAATAATAATGAGGAAGAAGGCCAGAGACAGCCAAAGGGGTGGTCTGAAATGAAAAAGCCCACTCATAATCCATTCATCCCACAGCTGCATGGGGAACTCAGCTCTTGTGACCTCTAGATGCCATTTCATGTCTACAACAGCAAGTGCTATTGGGACTCTGAACGCCAGTAACATCACCAAGGTCCTCTGCTGCTGCTTTAACAGTTTCAGTAATAGCAATCGAGTGGTATTTTTCAAGTGGGGGCCCTTTGTACTGCTCAAGGTACTCAGGCTTAGGGTATATATACCTCCAGGAAACCCCTTGTTGGCACGCTCTCACATTCCCCACTGGGAGTCTGGAAACTTTTCCCTCTCCTCTCTCAGAAGAATCATCATCCCTTCCCCTTTCGAAAACTGCCCTACAGACTGGGCTTGGTCCCATCCCCCTGCACCTTCTCCAGGATTCTGCTCCTTAGAAAGGATTCTTGGGGCTGGCAGGTGGTATGGTGGTTAAGTCACTGGACACCCACATGGCCACATGTGGTTTAAGCCCTAGACCTGGTGGACTACTTTCTCATTTTCACCCCCCCCACTCTCTGTCTCTCACTGGATAAAAAAGTAATAATGAAGGGGCCAGTAAGTGGCATGGTGGTTAAGGCACTGGACTCCCACATGGCTGACCTTGGTTTGAGTCTTAGACCTGGCAGCTCTCTCTCTCTCTTTCTCTGTCTCTCTGGTGAGTGCACACGCCCTATGGCAAATTTTTAAAAATATATTAGGTTGTTGGGAAACTCACGGCATAGTTTTCTATTTTTCAATGTAAAAATGCATCATGACTTTCTCAACAACCGAACAGTAATAGTAATAATAATGGTAATAATAAAATAAAAATTGTTTTTAAAAATCAATAAAAAATAAAGATGATAAGTAAAGTTAAATAGATATATCTTTTTTTTTTTAAAAAAAAGGATTTCTTTCTCTTTCACCTTGAAGAGGCAAGACTTCTTTCCCCATCCATAAATATATTCATTCACCTTTCTCAAATTCTAAGAGGGAAAAATGTCTTTCCTTAACATGGCAGCTACCTCTACATTTTTTCAACCACTTCTCTCCCTTTAAAGCACTGCAAACTGGTTGCTGACTCCTCTACTCTGATATCATCTTCTTGAATCCATAGAAGTTCAATAAACTTATGCCAGACAATAGACTAGCTCTGAGGATCCAAAGATAATGAAAGGTCTCAGCCTCAAGCAGGTCACAGTTAGGGGCTCAGGCTCCCAAGGAGCTTGTGACCATCAACTCTGAAGGCCTCTCTTATCCCAATCCTCCCACTCTCTGACTCTCCAAGACATCTGACACCCACAACCATCCTCCTAACAACCTCTCTTCCTTTCTTCCTTGCAAACCACGTGCTTCAGGCTTTTCCCTCATCTCTCTAACCATTTGTTCACTTCACTTGTTCCTTTCTCACTTTCGTTCCCTACAAGCTGACTTTCCCAAGGTTGTGGTTTTGGACTCCTCTATTACACACCAAGGTTACTTAACCAGGAATCCATACAGGGGCTTCAGAAGGACCAAGAATCCCTTGAAAATTTTATGTAAAGTTTTGTACGTAATTGCACTTTTCAGGGGCGGAGAAACGATAATTAACATTATACAGGTTGAGCATCCTTGATCTAAAAATATGAAATCTGAAATGCTCCAAAATCCAAAATTGCTTGAACACCAACACGACAACACAAGTGGCCAATTCCATATCTGACCTCACATTATGGGTTGCAGTTAAAATGCTGCAATACAAAAATGTTGTATAACAATTATCTTTCAGCTATGTGTATAAGCTGTATATGCAACATACAATAAGTTCATATTTAGATTTGGGTCTCATCCTTACGATATTTTACCATGTATACACAAATATTCCAAAATAAAATAAATAAATAAAAACCTGAAACATTTCTACCCACCTTTCCTGTCATTAAGCTTCTGATAATTTAGGGCCAGATATGCATAAAACAAAACAGAACACATTTCCTAACTAAATTTTTAGGAATTAGCTCACAATCTTACTTTTGTAATAACTTATATGTTCCCATAAAACTCTTTTTATCATAGTAAATTAAAAAACATTACAGAAACACTTCTGAAATAACACATTTAATTAGGAACACAGGAAAGGCTGAGAATAAAATCAAGGACATATCAGTGCATTTTCATCTATGATGAGCACCTGACTCCTGCCAAAGACTTCACGCCCTTCTGGGTCTCCAAAACTGTTGTGAGATTCTCCTTTCTGTCAGTCACAAACACCTGCTACTGACACTTGGGAGGGGTCTCACTAGAAGAAACCTCAGACCTTTATTCCTCCAATCTCTCTCTCTCTCTCTCTCTCTCTCTCTCTCACACACACACACACACACACACACACACACACACACACACACTGGATGACAGCTCCAGGAAGAAACACTGTAATTCATGGCTTCTCTTCTACTTAATAACCTCTTCCACTGCCTTCAGTTTAGTCTGCAGAAGAATTATTCCGTGCTTCTAATAAAGGCATTTCTATATTTTTCCTAAGAATTATGTCCTCGCTCTTCCCTTAGCAGGCATTTGCCTCCATCTTGCTTTGAGTCAAGCAGAGGAGGAGTGGGGTAGAAAGATGCAAGTAAGGCATGACAGAATGAAGAAGGTGAGGCTAAGGCAGAGTATAAAGGAGGGCTGTCATCTGAACAAGACTCATGGAAGGGTGTTGAAGTCACACAGTAAAAGTAGGGTCACTCCAATGCTTCGGTGAAGGGCAAAGAAAAGTTTTAGGTGCATATGGTACTGAATCACCTATGGACTAAGTCACAGGTTGTAACTAAGTAGATGAACAATAAACCAGTCCTGCCACATGTATACTAAATCCTATCAAATGACATCAGAAAGGTAAGTCCTCCAAAAGGTAGACCCGCCCCACTCAGCTACCTGCAAGACCTGTAGGACTCATCTGTACCTGCCTGAATGGTTCTTAAGCTCAGAGGCTGTTCCCATTTATGACCTTAGGAGCCACAAGAGCCTGCCACCCATGCACAGCTTACTGGCACCCATGGCAAGAATGCTGAACTCTGTGATGACTCACCATGCAGCACCCAACCACTCCTACCCACCTCCCCATGCCTACAACTCCAACAGACCTGGCCAAGACTGAGGGTATGAGTTGCCCCAGGGGAAGCTCACAGGCTCATGTGGGGTTCCCACCAGCCTCTCAGCCTCCAGTTTCAGACACCTGGGGCAATCCTCCTGCATAGACTGGCGGGAGAGAGACCCATTTCCCCTGGAAATGACCAAATCCATGTACGAATCCCACTGGGAAACACAACAGAGACTAAAAGAATGAGGGTCCCAGCCCACAGGCAGTTTGCATGGTGGAGGTACTTGAGAACCTTCTGAAAGGGGAGAGCACCCTGGAATTTACCAGACTGTGGGCCAGAGGAAAGGCGTATCTCGTGAGGATTTCAAACATATCTCTTCTGCTGTGGCCTTCCTGTTTCAACGCAAACCTCAGGTTTCTCATGTCCTGGGGGCAAAGGAGAAATTGGACAGTTCAGTCTTCAAATAAAGTGATATTAGTTAGGCAAAAATCTTCTGTTCAATTAAGGAAGTAGAAGATCCACTTACCTAAAAGGGCAATTAATCTAGAGACTAAGAAAATGACTTTGTTTTAAATGACATTTTGAAAGATCTAGTTTAAGAATACCTGAAAATATTCCCATCATAACCATGAGTGTAAAGCCAAGACAAAATAACAAGTGATAAAGAGAAGACAGCTAAATTTGCTTCATAAAAAGAAAAGGAATCAAAGTTCGCCCTGCACATCACCTATCATGTCTATTGACTTTCAATGGTTTCTAAGGTATTTTTTAATTATAAACCAATATTTTATTCAAACAAATTTTAAAAGAGTACCTGCTATCAAATATAATCTCAACATTGTCACACGTGTTATTAAAATATGGAAGTTCTCTCCCAAAGTGATTGGCATTTGAAGCTCTTGTGTGAGTAATGTAATGTTTTTTACCATACAATTTTACTTGCACAGAGTTCAATAATAAGTCACATTAAGTACTCCATATTAGTAGTAACTATACTTTCAAGAACTACAAATTGGCCCGAACTAGGTTTAAAGGTGGTTTCTAATACATATCTCTTTAATAAGTAGGAATCCTTCTTGTAAGCCAAATCCAAACAAAATAAACTCCTTTAAACATCAATTTGTATTATACAAGGATATTTGAAAAAGTTCAAAGAAAATGTAATTAAACTACAAGTTTATTCTGATACAAAATATGTTGAAAACCATACTGTTTTTCATAACACATTTTCGATGATGTTTCTGAAGACCTCTTGTATGCGAACATCTAATACTCCAATCTTATCAAGGCTGGAGTTAGTTTTTAGGTTGTCTCTCTCTCTCTTTTTTTCCCTTTAATTTTTAAATTTCATTTTCTTGTATACATTCAATCACATGTTAATTAGCTTGCAAAGTGAATAACGTGTACATTTCTCACCAGTCCAGTTAACAATACTATAAAGTCCTCCTCAACAGACAATAACCGACTTCTTTGTCCCATAAATGACTTGCCTCTGTATTTTTCTCTTTAATGTCCTTTCTGATACTGTACTCCTTCACCTATGTTCTTCCCACACTGTATCTGGTATTCACAACCATTTATGATGTTTCTATATTCTTTAGTCATTCAGTTTTGGCCATAGAGTGCAGACACTCAGTATATATTAAGTAGAGACATACAATGTCTCTCCTTCATAGCCCGGCTTGCTTCACTCAGCAATAAATCTTCCATATCCATCCACTTTTTGTCAAAAGCAAGGGTCTTGTTGTTTTTTTAATGGATGACTAATATTCCATAGAGTATATGTGCCACACTTTTTCACTTTTTCAATCCATTCATCTGTTTGTGGGGATTTGGGTTGGTTCCATGTCTTAGCAAAACGCTCAACATCCTTCATTGTAAGGGAGATGCAGATCAAAACCACAATGAGATACTACCTAAGCCCAGTCAGAATGACTAAGAAAAAAAAAAAAAAGATAAGTGCTGGCGGGGGTGTGGTGAAAGGGGAACTTTCCTACACTGCTAGTGGGAATGTAAACTGGTCCAGTCACTGTGGAGAACAAGTTGCAGATTCCTCAAAGACCTACCATATGATCCAGCAATCCCATTCCTGGGTAGGTTGTCTCCATCACGGTGCTGTGACCAATGACAGCTGAGCACTGTGGTCACCTACTATTCTGCACTGTATAATTTTAATTCTAAATTCAGATAATGAGCACTGGGCTGAACTCAGGGCTATTTGGGAGTGACACAGACCCAGTCTCTGACCTCCTGGATATCCCAATCTTCATATTTTTTAAAATGTTTTTCCCCATAATTATCTCAAGATAATTTTCTCATAACACATTTTCCATGATGTTTCTGAAGACCCCATGTATGCAAAAATCTAACACTAGGCCTGAAAGACCAGCAGAGGCCTTGCCAGCTACAAGACATCCCAAAATGCCAATGGCAGCAAACGGTACAAGGGGACTTCAAGAAGTTTGTGAAAAAAAAAAAAAAGGGAATTAAACTCTGAATTTATTATGGTGAAAAAAAAATCTTTGAAATCCATGCACGGTTTTTCATAATATACATTTTTCATGAACTTTTTGAAAACCCTACCAATGAAGAAGTAGACTCTAAGACTTCTAATGAATAACTCGAGACCCATCACTGTGTATAAAGATGGCATGTACTGGCCCTATCTGGCTCCAGGATTCCAAGCTTTCATATTTCAAAGCTTGTAACTGAATGAAGTCCAACAACTGATTCACATCAAGACCCAAGAAAATCAGGATATTTGTTGGTGGTTTGTGATGCAAGGCAATAGTCAAGTGAATAAGAAAATCACTTCAAGGGGATAAAAATATCTCAAAAGGGTTTTCAACCAGCCACAAGTACAATACTAGCAAAGCTGGCAATCCTCAGGGCTAAAGCATCTGTGAGAAACTCCCTTCTTCACAGTCACGGGTGAGATGATAACTCCATAACATCACTCACCTAGCCACATGGTCAAAGAGTAGACCATCTCTGAATATTTATTCTGGGGGCCGGCAGGTAGCATGGTGGTTGTCATTGGACTCCCACATGGCTGACTGCAGTTTAAGTCCCTAACCTGGTAGCTTGCATTCTTACTTTCTCTCTCTCTCTCCCTTGTCTTTCTCTCTCATGTGCCTGAGTACATGTGTCCTATAGCAAATTAAAATAATAATAAATAAAATAAAGTAAATAATAATATTTATTCTGCTCCATCAGTGATTCTAATGACTACTTTTAATGTGCCAAAGCAAAAGTGATTCAAGTAACTTCTTGCCATCTGAATTATTTCTTGCCAAGAAAGTTTAAGTAGAAAAAAACAAATGACTCACAGGTGGCAGATTACCAAATCTGTAACACAAATAGAAGCAGATACTAACAGGGAGGTCCCACCTGGTCGTCTAAGAGAATGACCCCAGGAAGAGTTACCTGGTCAAGAACCATGGGGCCTAAGTCTCCTGGTCAGACTTGATTTATCTACTATCTAGGGCCATAGTGATGCTCTAAGCCTGGCTATAGGAGAAGGAAACATCCCCCACTGCAACAGCTCCAAAGAGTTCATTTATTGGGGCATCATTTCTATGAGGCATTTCTAAAGAAACAACACACATTACTTCTTCCTTGAAAATATCACACCATCTTCAAGCTGAGCAAATGGGACTGAGGAGGAAAAGAAGATAAAAGCTTTTTTTTTTTTTTTAAAGACTTCAAGTGATCAGCAGGGGCTGGCATGTGGGACCTGCAGGGTAAGAATTCAACAGGGACAGCTGCCTTCTCTCCAGTCGTTGGACAGAGTCCTCTGACACTTATGTCCACTATGTGAAAGCTGCTACTGCCAAGCAGGAAGTCCCATGTGCACAGCTGGTACAGCCAAATCTGTAGGGGTTATTACAGTTGTCCCTTGGGAAGATTGGTTCCAAGACTCTCTGTGGATACCAACACCCATGAATGTTCGAGCCTCTTATATAAAATGGCATAGGATTTGCATATAACCCAAGCACATACTCCTGTAAACTTTCAATAATCTCTAGATTACTTATGTAACACCTAGCACAATGTAACTGATGGTAAATAGTAATTATACTGTATTGTTTAGGGAATAAAGACAAGAAAAATACTCTATGTGTTCAGTACAAATGCAATCATTGTAGGCCTGACTACACAGTCTACATCAAGAACAAGAGAATATTTTTGATTGGTGGTTGGTTGAATCTGTGGACAAGGAGAACAGACTGTACTTGTGTGGGAAGAGAAATGCGGCTGTATGGGGCTACTGAGTGCAGGTGACTGGTGACCTATGAGAGACAGGAGAGCCAGTCTTTACCCCATTGAAGTAGATTCTCTTTATAGCAACATCAGGTCTGTTATTGAGAAAACGGAATATGACATTTGGAATGCTGATGTTTCCAGGGAGATAGCTGTTAAAAGGCTGTGTTACAACATTCTTTAGGTCACTGTCTTTCAGCTCATGCTAATTCTATTAAATATACATGTGTAACACTGGAAAATTATACTTGATGAGTGATTCCTAAGCCTGTTGCTCTTACAATATAGAGTCAAAGGGTGAGAATGTGCTTTGTCTCGTTCATTTTTGTAGGGAGGATCAAGATTTAAATATAAAAATTTACCACTGGTCAGGCTGTAAATAGAATTAAAAAAAAAAAACTCTATTAGTATGAAAGTCACTTCAAAATCATCAAAGCAGCAACCCCATTTTCCCGAGTACTTTAATACAACACTCTATTCCCATGCATCCTTTTATTGAAAATATAAAAACTACCTTAAAAATAAATCCTCTTTGTCCCCACTTAATATATACCGAGTGTCTGCACTCTGTGACTGAAACTGATTGACTAAAGGATATAGAAACACAGTAAATGGATGCAAATACCAGATATAGTGTGTGTGAAAGAGTAGGGTCTGAGGAAGGACATTTAGAAGAAAAACAGAGAGGCAAAGCATTAATGGGACAAAGAAATGTAGTATTATCTGTTGAAGATATTTTATCAACTGGACTGGGGAGAAATGTTCACCTGTTGAAATACTCACTTTGTAAGCTAAATAACTTGAATCATAATTGAATGTATAAAAGAAAATGAAATTTAAAAATCCTCCTATTTCTAGGCCTCAAAGGGTAGACAATAGCTGAGATAATAGATAAGGCATTAACATGGCTTAGATTAAAACAAAAATAAAAAAGCTAAGATAGGGAAGATCAAGTTTAATAATGACAAAATCCTATGGTTTTTGATAAAGTATACTAGAATTGACCTTTGATAAACTGGAGAGAAAAACATGGTATTGAAGTCATACTCCAAACATAAGTACAGGAGGTTGGTTTTTTGAAATCACAGTGAGGGATCAGTAGGTGGTGTGGTGGTTAAGGCACTGGATTCTCATGTGGCCAACTATGGTTCAACTCCTGGACCTGGCGGCTTGAAAATCACACTAAGTGCATCTGCATGTATACCCAAAATCCAAGAGAAGGGATTGTGGCATGGCCATCTCCTTTGGGGGGTGGTTTCTCACTTTCCCTCTCTCTGTCTCTCTCTGGTGAGCACATACTCTCTATGAAAAAAAAAAAAAAAACTAAAAGAAAGAAAGGAAGGAAGGAAGGAGGAAGGGAAAAGGAAGAAAGGAAGAAAGAAAGAAAAAGAAGTCACAGTGCATGGGACCAGAAAAAGGAGACCTGGGTCCTGATTCTCATTCTTCATCAGCTCCTTGGGCAACCCTATGTAAGTCATCTCATTCTGCAAAGATCTCACACTTTCAGATCTGTCAGATAATGAACCTGGCCTGGCCAGGGGTCAGTAAACTTCAGTTCAGATCAGTCTTCACACGTTCTCAAGCTAAGAATGTGTTTTACATGTTTAAAGGGTTGAAAAAGAGAACACAAAGAAGAATATGCAATAGATATCCTATGTGGCCTACAGAGCCTCCAATATGTGCTTTCTGGCCCCTTCACAGAACAAGCCTACTGACCCAGAGCTAACCTGATGGTTCATAGTCACCTGAGACCTTAGAAGCATCCCAACCTTCTGGATCCTGGGCTCCAGAGATGATCTTACAGCAGGGTTTAACAGGCGATGTCCAAACACTGACATTTTAGAAATGGTTTCCCAGAGTATCCTGATGCACATCTAGCTTTGAGAAATACCAGGATCAATGACCTCCAAACCCTTCCAGCTCTTTCTAGAATTGGGCAATAGGCTACAGACTAGTCTTTTGACAGGCAATACCTGGGATTCAGGTTTCCTTGTCTGAGTGTTTATTTTGTTGTTTACAGCATGTTATCTTGCTGGACCTGAATTCCAGCTTTGCCCCATAGAAGGCAGTCTTAGCAAAGTTATCCAATCTTTCTGAGCCTTGGGCTCCTCTACAATGTGTCCATCCTTCAGAGCGCTGTGCTGCAGACTAGATGAGAAGCCAGTAGCATGTGTCTGGAGTGACACAGATGCTCAGGATATGGATAGTATTATAACTAATGAAACTGTTATCATTAAACTTCTGTTGCTCACCATGCCTAAACAAATGTTAGGCCACTACCTTGAAAAATGGAGCAAAAGTTACAGTTTGTTAGAGGTAAATATACATCCTGTTCACAGAAGGCAAAATCTCTTTCATTCTTCCTTCCTTTCACGGTATGAAGGTGACTAGCTGGTCACACCTGATAGGAAGACATGCCCTAGCAAGACTGGAACAAAAACTGAAATGGTTTAAGAAATTTCATTTACAAAGTCTTCTTCCTACTCATACAGACTAACAAACTAGCCAGTTCCTCCCATCCTCATACTTGGTGATCACAGTAGGCCCTTTATATGGGAATTATTTCTCCAGGAATTTTCGAAAAGACCTATCCTAAGAGAAAAAGAATTTCCAAGGCCTTAGATTGACAAGAAGTTTTGATTCTTTTTTAAAACCCATATTAACTCTCTACTATCATTTGACACTAATGTGCCCATTTCTTTGTGTAAGAATGCATTAAATTTCTTACTTTACAAGTAATATCTAGACCATAGGAATTTTCTCCTCTACTTGTCGCGCCTCCCATTTTTTCAATTCTTGAGATCACACCCAGAGGAACATCAAGTATTAGAGCAGAATCCTGTAATGGATAAAAATATCAAAGTCATTATTTCTGTCAGTATAATTAAAACCTCAAAAACATAAAAATAGTTGTGTGATTTCAGAGTATTTTTACCTTGGTCTTTTTACCATTTTATGAACAAAAATGACAGTTTACACATGAAAGAAAAAGCATTAAAATAGTCAATTTCACAATCAAGATGCACTCCCACCCCCGATATTTGCCACTGTGCACTGCTTATGGAACAAAGACTACATTTCTGTGTATGCAATGCCAGGGCCCTCATATCACTTCCAGCCTGCTTCTGTAGGCTTCTCTTAAGTCAACTCCTTCACCATTCTTCTAATACTATAATCAAGTCATGTGCTCTGTTAAATGTGTTCCCTATTGGGTTGTCTGAAAAGTCACGACGTATTTTTCTATTTTTCTATGCAAAAAATGTGTTATGACTTTTCTGATGACCCAATAGAAGATCTAACTTTCCCAACTATTGAGATTTTCCCCATGGTTTGGGCCTGGGCTCAATAAACCCTGCTTTCCCATTAGACCTGGTAGAATTAACCACACCCCCCTCAGAAGTTCCACAGCATGTGACTCAGCCTGCCATTGCATCACTTATTCACCCTGTCTTGGTACCACAAATGTACACGTCTCTGTTACCCCACCAGAAACCAAGCATTGTAGAAGCACTGCTTGTCTCAGGTATGGGTGCGTTTCCCAAAGCAGAAGGTCCTGAAAGTGTGGCAACACTTCTCCATCATTTGCTATTCAATTCTGGGTGCAAGTGCACTATATGGAGCCATGTCAGGGAAGTGGACTCACAACCACTGCAACAAGAGAATAACAGCAGCTACCACATGCAGAAGTCCTCATTGTGGCAGGTACTGCAATAGGGGCTTTGCATGCATCATCTCACTTTATCTTTACAACCATTCCAGGATGTGAGTGAAGTATCCCTAATTCTTGCTTTTTTTTTTTTTTTGGAGAGATTTTCTCTATAGGGCACGTGCGCTCGCCAGATAGACAGAGAGAGACATAGAGACAGAAAGTGAGAAATCGCCCCCCAGGGGGGATGGCCACGCCGCAATCCCTTCTCCTCCATTCTCCTCTCAGGATCTTGGGCACGCACGCACACGCACCCAGTGTGAGTTTTAAGCCACCGGGTCCGGGACGCGAACTGCAGTCGACTACGTGGGAGTCCAGCGACATAGCCATTACACTAACTGCTGGTTCCCAAGTATCCCTAATTCTTGATGTGACAACCAAAGTTTAAAAAAGCTTCAATAACTTGCTCATTAAATATGGGGCAGGGTTAAGTTTCAAGCTAAGGCCTAGGAACACACATCAAGAGAGCCATAAAAATAGTCTTACCTTTGACCCAATAATTTCACTCCTAGGAATTTATTTTATGGCTATCATTCATGAGGAAGAAAAAAAACTATAAGTATTAAGATACTCAATAGAGCCAGAGGCAGATATCAGGGTGGAGGAAATTAGTTAGTCAATTTGATGGAACAAATATGCAGTTATTAAAATAATTATGGCACATAGAGTAATAAGTTTAAGTGGTAAAAAGCAAAACATAAAATACACTGTGACTATAGTAACATAAAATGAACATTCATGTAGATGAAGACATGAATGGCTACACAGTTATTAATCCAAATTTTTTTAAATACTGTGTTAGATTATTTTGACAAAGAAAAAAATATTTGAAAGGTGTTTGAATTTTTGTTCTTTACAAATATTCTTTTGGGGGATACAAATAAAGTACATGGATGTTGGCAAGGGTATGATGCAGAGGGAATCCTCTCACACTGTTGATGGGATAACAATATAGAAGTTCCTCAGAAACCTTCAAATAAAACTACCACAAGGCTCAGTAATTCCACTCCTGGTTATCTACCTGGATAGGAAAATGCTCAGTTGGAAAAACACTTGTACATCCATGTTTATTATTGCATTATTCACAATTGCTAGGACATGGAATATGTCTAAAAATAGATGAGTGGATTGAAAAAATGTAGCACATATACACTATACAATACTACTCACCCATAAAATCAATGAGACCCTGACACTGGATACAAAGTAGATGAATATGGAATATTTAATGCTAAGTGAAGCAAGCCAGACTATGAAAGACAGGCATTGTATGTCCCCACTTAATATATATCAAATGTCTGTACTCTATAGCAGAAACCGAAAGATTGGAAGGTATAATAGCAGAGAAGGCAACTGTAGATACTGGAGACCATATGGGGGGAGGTAATAGAGGGTGGTTAATAGGGGGTAAAAGGGAGGGGATCAGGGAAAAAACAAATGATACATAAAAGTAAAAATTCATCTTTTGATGATAATGTATATGGTGATGTCTTTGATTTGATTAATATGCAGTGTATTCACTCTGGGGGAAAAATCATGTACTGGGTTGTTGGAAAAGTCATGATGTACTTCTTCTGTTTTTCTATGCAAAAATGCATCATGACTTTTCTGACAACTGAATACATTGTAAAGATACATAGTGATTAAATTTAAATATATATATACTATAGGGCACATGTGCTAGCCAGACAGAGAGAGAGAGACAGAGAGATAGAAAGCGAGAAATCACCCCCCAGGGGAGATGGCCACGCCGCAATGCCTTCTCCTCCATTCTCCTCTCAGGATCTTGGGCATGCACGCACACGCACCCAGTGTTAGTTTAAGTCACCAGGTCCAAGACTCGAACTGCAGTCGACTACATGGGAGTTCAGTGACATAGCCATTATGTTAACTGCTGGTCCCCACTTTCAGGTTTTGATAAAGCAGTATAGTGAGCCGGCCCTGCAGCCTAGTGATTAAAGCAACTAGATCTTACTAGATGACCACAATTTAAATACCAGCCCTGGCAACCTGAAAAACATATGGAGTGTATATGTGAGTATGCCCCCAAAATCCTGACAGAATGGAGAGATGGCAAAGGGACTGCAGCATGACCACACCCCAGTGGTGGGGTGCTTGCTCCCCTCTTTCTGGTGAGTATATATGCCCTCTGGCAATTAAAAAATAATAAAGCAGCACAGTTAATGGGTAACTGGGTGACAGATACACAACACCACCATATTATTTTTGCAAGTTTTTGTGAATTCATAATTACTTCAAAATAAAAAGTCAAAGAAATTTAAGGGTGTAATTATCACAGTGCAGCGAATAAAGCACAAGCTCTTAAGGTGGACAAAATTGGTTCCAATCTGAGTGTTGACGTTTATTAGCTGGATGACTTTGGCAAGTCACTAACACGCAGACACATGTTCCCGTAAAGTAGGGATGATTAGAGATAATGGATTTAAAGTACCTGGCATGGTGCCTGCCAATGGCAGCTAAAAATCAATGGGGGGGGGAATTATTATTATTATCATTACTGTGACAAAGAATATCTTAGTATGTAAAAGACATAACTGAGCTCTCCAAATATAGCAGATCAGTATGCTCTTCAAGCATCGGACAGATCTTTCTTCTATACCTATAAAGGAGGGATGTTTTTGGTGATTGCCATGGGGCAAGATATCTCACTACAAGACTGAATTTCAAATGCTCCAAGACAAAAAACGCTATTCAATGACAGTGATATATAGCTATTTATTATAATGTAGGCAGGATCTTCAAAAACTTCATGGAAATGCATATTATCAAAGAACTATATATGGATTTCAGACAATTTTTATATGAAAACAAACTTGTGCCTTAATTCCATTTCTCAACAAACTTTTGGAAATACCCTCAAATTTACTTCTCATTTTAGTCTAGTTATTAAAAACATCTTATTGAGTAGGCCAACAGTGGTATGGTGGTAACACACCATTCTGTGAGGCTGACACACATGGAAAACTTCTGCATTCACCTACAGAGACCTCTCTGAACACACTGGGCAGGTGCACATGCCCATGATCCAAGGATGGTCAAAGCTAGAGGTGAACTGCAGCATGGAGACTCTGTTGAGGATTCTCTCTCTCTCTCTCCCCTTTCTCTCTCTCCTCTTGTTCAAGGAAGAAATAAACATACAAAAATCTTAAAAATCAAACTATAAGCAGTCTGTTATTGTGCTTAGATTGGATTGAGATTCATGAGCATGGACTGTATTCTTAAATGTCAAACTTATACCTAAAATACATAGATTAGCCAGCAAATAAAAGCCTGATACTCCAATTTCAACATGGAAACAAGAATCTTAAAAAAAAAAAAAAAGTAGAATTAAAAGATGATGCCTGCTGCTCTCTCCCTGTGTGAAGGAAATCCTACAGTTCAGATTGACCTGACCTAAAACAAAACAGAAAACAGGACACAGGAGAACCAGCTAGCTCTTGACCAAAAACACCCATGGCTAGTGAGACTACTTGCCACTTCCTCCCGTAATGACATGTTCAGGATCAGATAACTCAGCAGCCAAACATGAAGATCCAGGAACAGGAAAATCAGCTTAACTCTCTGGAAACCTGAACCATTACCATCTAAATAGGAATAAACAAGGCTTCTCAAAGGTCCATTCTAACTCAAAGTCGTGTCTCTGTTCCTTTACTTATCTAAAATAGTTGAAAAGCAAATATGACAGACAAGCTAAAACAATGTGTTCTCTCTCTCTCTCTCTCTCTCTCTCTCTCTCAGCTACACTAAGTAACAGAAAGGGTACTGGGCACCAAAGTCCATGAAGATCAGACACATAGAGCTCAGGGCTGGGTCAGGGCTGGGAGATAAGATACATGTGCCAATAGTTGTGACAGCAGATTGCAAGAACCAAGAATCATCAGAAAAGTCCTCAAGGGAATGTGAGGGCAAAGAAGGCAAGCTGCTATCTTACTAACTGTATCCCATGAAGGTTCTGCAACAATGACCAATGAGATATCACCCAACCTCAATCAGAATGGCCAAGATTACAAAAAATAAAGAAGGATAAGTGCTGGTGAGTCTGTGGTGAAAAGGGAACTCTCCTACACTGTTGGTGAAAATGTAAATTAGTACAACCTCTGTACAGAACAATA